ACTACTACTACTACTACTACTACTACTACTACTACTACTACTACTACACTACTACTACTACTACTACTACTACTACTACTACTACTACTACTACTACTACTACTACTACTACTACTACTACTACTACTACTACTACTACTCTACTACTACTACTACTACTACTACTACTACTACTACTACTACTTCTACTACTACAACTACTACTACTACTACTACTACTACTACTACTACTACTACTGCTGCTGCTACTACTACTGCTACTACTACGACCTACTGCTACCACGACTACTACTACTACTACTACTACTACTACTACTACTACCACTACCACTACGACCACTACGACTACTACTGCTAGTATTGCTACTATTTCATTTCTTTCAAGGCTACTTCTGTATCCACGGTTCGTATTCGTCGTCGTCGCCGGTCGTCGCCGCCGCCGCCTGTCGTCGTCGTCGCTGCCACCGCCGCCGGTCGTCGTCGTCGTCGTCGTCGTCGCCGTCCTTGCCAGTCGTCGTCCTCGTCGTCGTCGTCGTTGCCGTTGTTTGTGTTGTTGTCGTCGCCGCTGGTGGTCGTCGTCGTCCTCGTCGTTGCGGCCTTTGTACCAGTATTGGGGAAACAAACACGATCTACATCACCATCATCATCACCAGCAGCAGCATCAGCATCAGCAGCAACATCATCATCTTCATCGGCAGTCTAATCTACCTCGGTTCCTTCTGTCCTCCTGGCCTTCGTGGGAACCTCTTCGCCACCGTGGGTGGACTTTGCCAAAGATTTTCTAGGAGTTTGCGAAAGAGAGATCTGTGGGCCGATTCGGTAGGCACCAGCGGGCAAGAGAAACCACACGTCGATGGGCGGGATTGAACTTCCCTCCAGGAGAAGGCTCATGGCCGAGCTCCGCGACGAGGTAGAGGCACAGCGGGTGACCCACCGCTGCCGGCCCGCCGTTGCTCCCACTCCACCATCGGGGGCGCCGCTGGAAGAATGAGGAGTTGGAAGAGGAGGGGGAACACGAGTTCGAAGAGGATTAGACATGAGGGGGGAGGTGGGGGGAGGCAGATGAGGAGGTTATGATGGGGAAGGGGAGGTTGGAGGACGAGAGGGAGCATGTGGATGAGTTTGAGAATCGCACAGATGACATATGTCCAGGTGATTTCACTCGTCGGCCCATTCCTTCTTCTTCACATCTTCTTCATTCTACCAGTTGGTAGGGTTCACGCTTCTGGCCATTCCTGCCGTCCTATTTACGGCCTTGGTGTGTCTCCTTCTCACGGTCTCTTCTCTTCAGCGGAGGGATATGGCTGGTAGGATGGCGTAACCTTCGGCAGCTTCATTGGCGTATGACGTGTAGTGACTCTTCGTTACCGTCGTAGTCGTCGGGTCGTCGTAGTCGTCATTGCACCTCTCAGCATTACTGTTGGTTCGATGCGTTCCTGCAGTGACGCTGCACATTGTGATGTGAATCATTTGCTACTGGCCGACCCCCCCCGTAGCATTGTGATTATGTTAGCACGTGTTCTTCGTGGTAGTAATTGTGCCTTGCCATACCATTCGCGCCAGGAAGTTTCTTCGTAGCACCGCGCACTCAATAAGATGGTTCTTGTGGTCGTGTTGGTCACTAATTGTTACGTGAAGGTGTTCAACGACATGTAGGGTGTGAGCGTTGTACAGATCAAGTTGGCACTGGCCAAATTATTGAATTCGGTAGTTGCCACCACAGAGATCAATGCCGTCCTTAGCAGCATCGCATACGGCATCATTGTGTCAGGGCGTTGTGCGTCAGGGTTCTTGCGCGGGTAATGGGGGTGCCATTCTAACACAGAGCGTCCTTGGATGCGGCTCGTGTCGCCAATGCTTTCTGCCAGCTGACCCGCGTGTGATTGTTGCTCCTGCTACGCACGGTGGCCTCGTCTTTTGCATTCTCTCGCGAGGCCCCCATTCACACCGCTTTGGGCACAGTCAACAGCACCTTCTTTGGGCTTGCCTACGCGTGCTTGGGCGGCTGGATGGTTGGTGACGGCGACGTCAGCGAGGAGCCTGCAGTGAAGTGGCATGAGGGAGGCAAGTAGGGGGGTTCACATGAGCGTCGCGCTCGGAGACGAGCTGGATTGTACCTGTGGCTCGGCAAAGGGCCTGCAGCGTAACAGCAGGATGTTATTCTAGACGCTTCGCGTAACCCTACTATTCGTCCCGCTCGGGACCGTTCCCCACCCGTTCTTACTCGAACTGTTGGGAGCGCCTTACGCGCCATTTTGGCTGCGCTCGGCTTCCTCGGTGCCTGTTGTCAGTCTCCCTGGATGCGCCGTTGCATGTTCCTTTCAGGGGCTGCCCTGCAGACTCCCTGGATATGCACGCCTTGGCTTCGACGCCCTGGGTCGCTGCTGCCTGCCGCCTGACCGCGGCCCCCCGCGCGCGCCCGCCCCCCGAGTCGCGGCCGCAGCCCGACCGTGACCGCCTGCCGCTGGCGCTTCCGCCTGCGGCTCTACTAACGGGGTCTGAGTCGCATGGGTGAGGAGAGCGGCCGTGAAGCAGGGGACCATCGGGAATGAAAAGAACGACCCCAAGCTGAACTCCGTGCAGCTGTGCAGCGATTTCCCCCAGGCATGGGGCAACGCAGGGTATGACGCATACAAGATGGACAGAGACCTAGGGCTCAAAGTCGATTGGCCAACGGTCAAGGACAGGCATACTAGGCTCCTGCAACGCGAGCCCAGACCCCACACGCAGCGCGGGACCGACAGCAGCAGCGGCCCCGCCCCATGGACCAAGGAGGGCAAGGGGGCGACAGAGGCGTCCTCGCAGGAGCAATGGACTGGTGCATCCGGCTCCGCCAACCCTTGGCATGGATGGCAGGGATGGGTTTCCTGGAGCCACCAGAGCACACCGTGGACAGATACCGATTGGAAAGCGAAAGGCAAACGCTACTCCCCCAGGGGAGAGGACCCATACACCGACAAGCGCGCACGATGGTGGGATTGACTTGACCAGTGTGCCCAGGGCTTGCAGGGATGGGCCCGCCAAAAGGGGCCCCCCCTGCTCCCCCAGCTCGGCGACAGCGACGCCCCCCAGGCGCTCGCCGCCCTCCCTCGCCGAGGACAGTTTCATCCTGCAGCGCCCGGCCTTGGCCGCAATACCCTGGGCAGCTCCCGCTGGGGCGGGGGTGGCCCAACATCTCACCCAAGGCGCTGCATAGCTAGACAGCCCACACTGGATACGTGGACCTTGCCTGGCCACCTCACCCCCCCTGCAGCTGGTGGGGGTGAGCCCGCAGGCCCCACCGGCCCACGGCCAACAGCCGCCCTTTACGACGGCTGACTGCTCAGTTGGGGACTGGGGGCGGACGCAGACGCCTCCCCGGGCTCCACACCCTTTGCTGTCTCCCGACAGCCACCTTGGTCGGCCGGGGGTGGTTGACTGGAATAGTCCTCCCCTTGCGCACCACTCTGCTGGCGGCGGTCCGTGTGCAGCCCACACTACCCCCCCTAGTCCTCAGCTCTGTGCGAGCTGCTTATATGATACATGTCCTGTTCCGTCGCGGCTGGTGGCTGCACCCTCCCCGATGATGACACCCCAGAGGGGAATCGTGAGGGGGTAGTGGATGGGCACCCTAGAGAGGGCCATGAGGTGGCGAATCAGCCCACTGATGCGGATAGCGCTGTCCACCCACCATGGGGACAGGCGCCGGTACCGCCCCTCGCAGTGGCGGGTCTCTCCCCCGAGAGGCCGCCAGATGACAAGGGAAGTGGCGACCTCACATATGTGGCCGTGCGGCTGTTGGCCGCACCTCCCTCCTCCTGTGCCAACCATATGTGCATGCGGCTGTTGGCTGCGCCTCCCTCCTCCTCCTCCTCCTCCTCCTTCTCTTCACCGACACATGTGCACTTTGCGGCTGTTGGCTGCACCCCCCCTCCTTCCCGTGGTCAGATTCTGCCCTTGCTGCGCTCCAGCGCTCCATGAGGTGGTCGCGGCAGCTGCGAATCTCGGCGACTATCGTGGCTGGCACCTGCAAGTGCAATGTACAGGCCCTTGGGCCAGCATGTCCTCTCTCATCGTGGCAGCCCCGACCAGCTACTGGCTTCGGACACGATGACGGCACACCGGCCCCCCCCCTTGGCAGCACTGCGGTCCGCGGAGTGAGTGCTCTGTTGGTGCTTGCCGTCCCCCGGCTCTCACTGTGGTCAGTTTCGGGTCTGACTACCCAGTGCCTATGTGCTGGCCGCGGCTGCAGCGTACCTCGGCGACCTTCGGCCGTTTCCCGCTTGGCGGCAGGACTGGCGCATGGGCCTGCGTGTCCGCTTCCATCGTTGCTCCCTGGCCTGTGACTGGTTGCGGAGACGATGGCTGGCGCACCAGCCCCACCATGGGAACCGGTGGATCGTGGAGTGAGATCTCTGTAGGTCCCTGCCCTTTTTCTGCCGACCCCGCGTACGGCGGTGGTACCTTGCGCTGAGTGGTGCAGCCTTCAGCGTGTCGCTTCGGTACTACCTGCTTGTTCGGCTAGTTTGGCGGCGCGGACTGGCGCCGACAGGGCGACTCTCCCGCTGCGTACCCCAGCCGACCCCGCGTACGGCGGCGTCAAAACCTCGCACTGAGTGGTTCTGCCTTCAGCGTGTCGCTTCGTCCCCACATGTTGGCCGGTATCTGGTTTCGGTGCGATGGCTGACGCACCGGCCCCACCATGGGCAGCGGTGTGGATCGTGGAGTGAGAGCTCTGTAGGTCCCTGCCCTGTCTTTGCCTACCCCGCGCACGGCGGTGGTACCTCGCGCTGAGTGGTTCAGCCTTCAGCGTGTCGCTTTGGCCCTACCTGTCTAATCGGATAGGCTGGCTGCGCGGACTGGCGCCGACAGGGGGAGTATTCCGCAGCGTCTAATCGAGCATTTTGCTTACTGCATGTGCATACTCGCGTACTGCGGGTTTTTACTGCAGGTGCATTGCCTGTTCTAGCTAATTAGCTTCGCCTGCTGGCCCAGACGACGCCTACCGCTCCCTGTCCGCCGCCTCGGAGCCGCCGACCCAAAACAAGTAACCCTACCAGCCCTTCCAGAAACGATGCCAACACGAGTTGCCCTGATTAGGGATGTGGAGGAGCATGCTGTTGAAAACAGGGCTGGGTAGGACGTCGTACCCCAAGGGGGGGGGGATGGAGGAGAAATCGGAGGAGGAGGAGGAGTTGGTAGAGCGTGAGGGGGAGGAGGGATGCGGGAGGAGAAGGAATATGTGGATGATGGCGACGATGATGATGATGATAATGATGGTGATGCTGCTACTGATGATGTTGATGCTGCTGATGCCGGTGATGATGATGAGGATGGCGCTGATAATGATGATAATGAGGAGGATGAGGATGATGACGATGACGATGATGATGAGGATGAGGAGGGCAAACAGACCGGCTAGACGCGATGATGATGGTGGTTGCCTCTCGGAGTTGTTGTCCGATTTCTCCCGAGAGCTTCTTGGAGTCCTCTTGGGGTCTCTTGAGGGTCTCTAGGCAGTCCTGGGTGCCTCTTGGGACGTCTTTGGTGCCTTTGGGGAGCTTTCGGGGGCCTCTTGGGAGTCTCTTGGGAGCCTCGGGGGCATCTTGGGGGCCTCTTGGGGCCTTCTGCGCACCTCTCGGGGCAGTCTTCTGTCACCCTAGGGAGCCTCGGGGGCCACCTTTGAGAAGATCGACCAAAGGAGTTTGCCCTCCCCTCTGGAGGCCAGACTGTGGCTTAGTAGGATCAATGAATTTGGTCTTGTTGCCGAGGCCTCTTGGGGCGTCTTGGGTGCCTCTGGGAGGCCTCTTGGGGCCTCTTGGGGGTCTCTTGGGAGCCTCTTGGGGGTCTCTTGGGGGCCTCTTCGGGGCCTCTTGGGGGTTCCTGGGTACATCTTGAGGCCGTCTCGGGGCACCCGTGGGAGCCTCGGGGGCCATTTTGGCGGAGATCGGTCATAGGAGGGGCACTCCTTAATTAAGGCCCCCTCCCACCCCCAGGGAAGCCAACATGCGACCAAAACCTTAGTGATATCTATGGTTCTGGTTTTCTCGCCGAGGCCTTCTGGGGCGCCTTGGGTGCCTCTGGCGGGGCCTCTTAGCGCCTCTTGGGGGTCTCTTGTGAGCCTATTGGGGGCATCTTGGAGGCATCATGTGCGCCTACTGGCGCCTCCTAGGCGCATCTTGTGCCCTCTTGGGGAGCTCTTGGGAGCCTCGGGGGCCATCTTGGGGCCATCTTGGAGGTGATCGATCCAAGAAGGGGAGGTTCCAATTAGCGCCCCCCCCCTTTGGAGGCCAGAATGTGGCCAACATTTCAGTCAAATCAATGATGTTGGCCTGCCTTCTCGCCGAGGCCGTTTTGGACGCCCTAACCGCTCGCGAAAGGCCCCCTCAGAACCAGACCCAGGGGGAGGGACTTCCCCTACGTAATAGAGCGGGTTAGCCCCTCCCATTGACGACAGAATTGTCCCGCCCGTTCCCTCCCCTAGATGGGGCTGCCTTGCGGTCGCGGTTCTCGGGGTCCAGGGCTCATGTTGGAGAGGTTTTAGTAGTGCGGGTGGAGAGTCGGGACGTATCCAAAAATCTCGCTGAAGGCACGATTGGCCGTCAGTGCGGGTGCGGGCCGGGCGCGGAGGTCATGCCGAAAGGAGGAGTGCTGGGCGCGGAGCTCCTGCGCAGAACTGCTGCGAGGGTCCTTGGAGGGCGTGACTCGCTGCTCGTCGGCAGGCAGGGGGGCGAGTGCCTCCTTCCGAGGGATGGGGCGGGGCATAGCCGTGCTGTCTTGGAAATCGCAGCGCACGACTGCGCTGGCCTCGAGGGCCCACTCCAGTAGAGCACGCAGTCCGCAGTCACTGAGGGGCCCCCACCCCTGCACGCTGGCAAGCACAAGGCAGGCACGGCGCGCCCGGCTGAACGTTGCGTTGAGGATGCGGCGGTCGTCGAGGAAGCCTAAAGGTTGACCGCGGAGCTGGCACGAACGAAGGAGACGAGTATGACGTCCCGCTCGCCACCCTGGGGGGTTTGGGCTGGGGCAACCCAGATGTCTCCAACGTCGATGCTGTCCAGGCCAGGGCGCGGGGGGGCGCTCGGGGACGGGCCGCGGTGGGGCGGCCCCAGCGGGTGTCGGCGGGGAGTGGGCCCTCCCCACCTAAGATGAGCGGGCGCTGCGCTACGTGGGGAGTGACAAAACCGACAGAGAGGTCTTGTTTGCGCCAGCGGGGGGGCCACAGTGTACCAAAAGGTCAGTGATGGCGAGGGCTTCGTGGAGGTTCACGCATGAGAGCCCAGTGTGGCCCTCGGTACCGGGTGTGCCCACTAGGAACGTTGCGGGGTCCCCATGTTTGGCAGGCTCAGGGCTGAGCAATCCTGGCTGAAGTGGCTCGGGTTCGTCCGCCGGTGGGGTAGGGGCATGAGGGCGCGGGCAAGCAAGTGCTTCCCTTCGGCTGGGGGAACCTCAGGGGGCCCACCAGGGTCAGCGTGCGCTGGGGGTGCGAAGATCCGGGTCGCTGTGACCAGCGGCCACTGGATGCCGGCAGAGGGTTCGCGCTCCTGGTTGTCATGTGCAGACTGGAGGAGACTGGTACGAGTGATGGGAGGGGGAAGCGCAGAGATTCGGGGTGCATCGATGAGTGACCAGCAGGATGGTGGAGACGCGGGGGCCCCGCTCATGACTGTCGATGCGCTCCATGCTCGAGAGCTCCCCGCCCAATGCGCGTGCCAGGTGAGAGCGGCAACGCGCAGGGAGTTGGGCGGGGTCAGCGAAGAGCCCGACGACCGAGCCGCAGAGACCAGCGAGGCAGTGGGGGATTGCAGTCTGACCGTTAAGCGCGCTGGCCGCTTCGCCGAGGAGCACTGCCCCGACGTTGGGGCCCTCGTGCCCAGGGTTGCCGCCCCAGACGTCGTATGTCTTTTCCAGGGTAGCATACGCCCAGCGCCCCTGTGCCCCGAGGACGGAGCGGCACTCGCTGTTCCAATGTGAGTTGGACGGAGTCTGGCATGCGCTTCAGTGAAAGCGCTCCGCGAGACTAGGAGGTATGGTCGGCGGAGATCTTGTCAGGGTTACCGACGGGGCAGATTTTGTCGGCGTTCGCCTGGGGTGTATGCCGGGGGTGTACTCGGAGGCGTTCTGTGGCTACGCGCGCACAGCGAAGGGCGTTGTCGACTGCGGCATGGGTGGATCCGCAGACTATGCCGATTTCACCGGCTGCTAGGACGGTAGACAAGAGGTGCGGTGGCGGGTGGCCTCGAGCACGCGGGTCTTGCCCGTGCCCGGGGGGCCTTGCACGGTAACGAGGCGGGTGGATGATGGGGGTTGAGCTCCCTGGCGTCGCTGATCTGCTGGGCGCGTTCCATACGGGGGCCGGGCGCGGGCGGCCAAGTACGCATCCGCCGAAGACCTGGCAGCGGTTGAGCTGGGGTGTGCGGACTGTGTTGGAGGGGGGCCCAGTGGGAGTCTCCTCCCAAGGTTCCGCTGCGGAGGTGGGTGGGGGGCAACCTCGTCGGGGCTGCTGAGAATTGCGGTTGCGTCTCTATTGAGCTCGGCGGCGACCGTCTTGGCAAAGGAGTATTGTAACAGGTAGCATCTTAACCCCGTTGTTCATGGAGGAGGAAGCCGCCGAACACAGAGACAAAGATGGTGGGCGCAAAGGACCCGAGGAGCCGATCGGGGTGGTGCGAGAATTGGTAGGTGGTCATTAGGCAGTGGCGGTTGCGTCGCCACGTTTCTAGCCGCCCGGTGACCAGGTCCATGCGGCATCCATCAACTCTGTGGGGGAGGGGGAGACAGGGGGGTTCTGCCTCCCTGCGCCGGAAGAGGACAAGAAGGGTCTTCTGGGCCGCGAAGGGTAAGTGCGGTCCAGAGACTTGGAGCCAGGCGACCTTGAGGTGCGGACGCAGAGGTTTTCCATGGGGGCCGACCACGGATAGGGTGACGGCAGAGGCTCCTTTGGCCTTTGGGGGAATGCCGGAGTGGCAGCCATCAGGCCAGGTCAGGGCCCAGTGCTCGGTGTGTTTGTTGGCAGTCTTGGCATAGACGGTGGCAGTTTGTTGGTCATCGAGGACCCATTGGGGGGGGGGCGGTTCACCAGCTGGGTTGGGAGGACGCCCAAAGCGACGTCCCGTCTGAGAGAACAGGGCGTGTCGGTTGGCAGGGGAGTCGGCTAGTGGTTCGCTGCCGCCGCGGAACTCGCACTGCCAGGTGTGCCAGTCGGCATACCCACGCTTGTGAAGCTCGGGGGGCCAGCATGCTGGGGGTCGGCAGCAGGGGCATGGGGTACTGCGTGCGACTCCCAGCGGTGACAACCTGAGCTGTTACCCAGCTGATCGCGTTCTGGGCGAAGTCGGACAGGCTGAGTTTTGCGCGGGAGGCGTGCAGGGAGCCAGCGTCTCCATCTACAGTGGCGGGCGAGGGGGGTTGGCGACGCTATTGCGCTGGCGGGTCAGCTTGGCTGGCGGAGCCGGCAGGCACAGCGCCAGGAGGACCTGCGAGGGGTGCTGCGGAAAGGGGTGGAGGTCGATCCTCCTTCGTGGGTTCTTCAGGGTCAGGGGGGGGGGGGCATCGCGCACTGCAGGGGCGTCCATGGATAGACCGTCCCCGCCGTCAGGCGCATCAGAGGGGTAGGCCGAGGCCTGGGACGGAGGTCGATCCTCCAGTCGAGTCGCGGGGAGGCGCCAGCCGAACCCATGGGGGCGTCAGCAGTAGGGCGACCGACCTGCTCGGCGGCAACCCTCTCAGCGGTTAGGGAGAGGTGGGGGAATGGACGTAGTAGGTGACAGCGGGGCAGGGCCCAGTCCAGGGGAGCAGACGGGGGGGGCAACCCTCTGGGAATGCACCTGCTCCTCCTCCTTCTCCTCTCGCTCCTCCTCCTCCTCCTCCTCCTCCTCCTCCTCCTCCTCCTCCTCACCCTCACCTCTTTTTCACAATCGTCCCGTCGCCAGGACGACGAGTTCGCCATGCAGCCACCATGGCCGTGGGCGAGGCAGGAGATCAGGGAGTTCTTTCAGGTGTTGGACCGCGATGGCGCCAGGAGACTGAGACATTGAGAGAGAGAGAGAGAGAACAAACAAATACGAAATAATGAAAGCAATAAAGAGAGAAAGAGAGTTAGAGAGAGAGAGAGAGAAAAAAAAAAAAAAAAGCAGAAGAGAGAGAGAGAGAGAGAAAGAGAGAACAAGGCGCACATGATGTTGTAGGTGTACATGTATGTATATCTACATACACATGGTGATAGCACGTCAGAGGGGAATGTGTGCAGCTTTATATGTGCGATTGGCATCGGGTAATGGCCGCGATTCCTACATCTACACATCCAACGATTTCGACCCATCTCGGTACCTATACACCGATATTAGTAACCACCGGGCCCTTGTCTAACCAGCTATATCTATGTGCACGTGTGGATTCGTATGCCAATTCGTTTACCGTTAGCACGACCGAATTTTCCCTAGTTATATGTTTGGATACAGTTGCGTGTCGGTATCGTCGGCAACCAACTGGCATTATTCTCAGCATGCCAGTCGATCGCATTATCGAGATGCCTCGCATTACTATGCCGTTCTTGATACACATTCATAATGCGGTCTTGCAACCGCTCGGTTTCACCATCGAAGCGTTGATATCGCGATCAGCCTTATGTGCAAACGCCTGCATCTACACAGTTAAATGCACACATGTGTGTAGACTGACTGATCGTCGCCGTACTAATTGGTTCCCTGTCTGTGTGCACATCTATATCTATCTATCTATACATATAACGGCGCACCGGGTCCGGGGGCCCGGGGCCGGGACCTCGACCACAAATGTGCACCCCGGGGGCCCCGGAGGCTCGTCGGGGCTTGCCGGAGGCCTCCCCAGTCAGACAAGACGGCCCGAAACTTCCAAGAGGCCTCCAAGAGGGCTCCGAGATGCTGAAGATGGCCTCCAGACGTCCAAGGACGCCCCCCAAGACGCCCCAAGAAGCCTCCAACATGCGTCCCAAGAGGGCGCCTAGACGCAAAAATTGGCCCATTCCCTTCGTAAAACGTACATTTTTCACAAAGTTGCCTTTTGGGCTTTCCGACGTTACAGGACGGCCCAAGAGGCGCCCAAGACCGCCCCAAGACGGCCCAAGAAGCTCCCAAGAGTGCCCCAGGACAGCCCAAGAGGGCCCCAAGACGGCCCAAGAGGCGCCCAAGATGGCCCAAGAGGGCCCCAAGACGGGCCCAAGAGGGGGCCCAGAGGGGGACCACGAACCGCAAGCTCGAGCCTTCCGCCCCAAGAGGCCGCCAGGAGGCCCCCAGGAGGCCCCTCAAGAGGCCCCAGGAGACCCCAGACGTCCAAGGACGCCCCCAAGAGGCTCCAAGAAGCCTCCAACATGCGTCCCAAGAGGGCCCCTAGACGCAAGAATTGGCCCATTCCCTTCGTAAAACGTACATTTTTAACAAAGTCGCCTTTTGGGCTTTCCGACGTTACAGGACGGCCCAAGAGGCGCCCAAGACCGCCCCAAGACCGCCCAAGAAGTTTCCCAGAGGGCCCCAGGACAGCCCAAGAGGGCCCCAAGACGGCCCAAGAGGCGCCCAAGATGGCCCAAGAGGGCCCCAAGACGGGCCCAAGAGGGGGCCCAGAGGGGGACCACGAACCGCAAGCTCGAGCCTTCCGCCCCAAGAGGCCGCCAGGAGGCCCCCAGGAGGCCCCTCAAGAGGCCCCAGGAGACCCCAGACGTCCAAGGACGCCCCCAAGAGGCCCCAAGAAGCCTCCAACATGCGTCCCAAGAGGGCCCCTAGACGCAAAAATTGGCCCATTCCCTTCGTAAAACGTACATTTTCAACAAAGTTGTCTTTTGGGCTTTCCGACGTTACAGGACGGCCCAAGAGGCGCCCAAGACCGCCCCAAGACGGCCCAAGAAGCTTCCAAGAGGGCCCCAGGACAGCCCAAGAGGGCCCCAAGACGGCCCAAGAGGCGCCCAAGATGGCCCAAGAGGGCCCCAAGACGGGCCCAAGAGGGGGCCCAGAGGGGGACCACGAACCGCAAGCTCGAGCCTTCCGCCCCAAGAGGCCGCCAGGAGGCCCCCAGGAGGCCCCTCAAGAGGCCCCAGGAGACCCCAGACGTCCAAGGACGCCCCCAAGACGCCCCAAGAAGCCTCCAACATGCGTCCCAAGAGGGCCCCCAGACGCAAAAGTTGGCCCATTCCCTTCGTAAAACGTACATTTTCAACAAAGTTGTCTTTTGGGCTTTCCGACGTTACAGGACGGCCCAAGAGGCGCCCAAGACCGCCCCAAGACGGCCCAAGAAGCTTCCAAGAGGGCCCCAGGACAGCCCAAGAGGGCCCCAAGACGGCCCAAGAGGCGCCCAAGATGGCCCAAGAGGGCCCCAAGACGGGCCCAAGAGGGGGCCCAGAGGGGGACCACGAACCGCAAGCTCGAGCCTTCCGCCCCAAGAGGCCGCCAGGAGGCCCCCAGGAGGCCCCTCAAGAGGCCCCAGGAGACCCCAGACGTCCAAGGACGCCCCCACGACGCTTCGCGTCACCAATTTCTTCTCACAACGATTCCTGGGCCTGTGACTCGACAGAACCCAGCGCGCGCGAAGCGCGCGCGTGGTTCTAGTATATATATATATATATATATATATATATATATAATATATATATATATTATATATATATATATGTATATACTATGTACATAAATGTGCATGTGAATGTGTATCTATGGGCCGTCTTGAGGCCCTCTTGGGGCGTCGTGGGCCCTTCTTGGTGGCCTCAGGGGCCGTCTTGGGCTGATCTTGGAGGCCTTTTGGGCCGTCGTGGACGCCGTGGAGACCGAACTGTCGCATGTGCTAAAGCTCATCGGGAATGGGACGACGTTTTCCTCTTGGAGCTTTGCTGGGAGGGTTCTTGGAGACCTCTTGGGACGTCTCGGAAGCCCCAGGGCCATCTGGAGGCCATCTGGAGTGTCTGAGACCGATTGCTCGGCGACTCGGGGCCCTCTCGGACCGTATGAAAAGCCTCTTGGAACCATTTAGCCCTCTGCGACCTCCGGGCCACCAACCGATGCAAGGGCCCCGACCTCGCCGATCTCATGAACTTCATGCGCAGGCCGAAGAAGGGCAGGGCCCCTCAGAAGATAGCGGAGACCTGGAACCGCATCCAGATGAAGCCCAACGTTAGGCGGCTGGGCGATGAGCGGTTCCAGACAGGACACATGGTCGCCTGGTTCTGGGACACCGTGGCTCGGCGGTTGATGGTGCGCGCGAGGAGGGGCGCCACGTCTCTGGGGCAAGTGCTCTACCTCACCCATGCAGCTGGCCAGTCCTCGCCCCCGCTGCCCATTATTGACATGGCCGCGAAGCTGGTCAACTGCGTCAGACCTGGTGAAATGGGCAGCGTGCGCGGGGTGCTACCCCTGCACGTGGGCATGCGCATGCGCCTGCTGGAGCACCTGGACCAGACCAGGGGGCTCGTCAAGGACGCCGAGGGCGAGGTCGCTCATGCGGCCGTCGGCCCGATGGATGAGGGCGAGGTGGAGGCAGCGAAGGCCGAGCGACGTCCGGCGTACCTGCGGTGCCTGCCGCACGGCGCGCGGGTGCGCATAGAAAAATACAAGGCCGGCCCCTGCGGCAAGAAGCTCGCGGAGCTCGGTGACAGCATCGACGCCGCGGACGCGGCGCGCCTCGTCTTCATCGAGCCGCAGAGTTTGAGCCCGTTTGATTTCCGGGAGCACAAGGTCACGCGCATTGGCCTGGCCATCTCCCGTGCCGAAGTCCTGACGTCCACGGCTTACCAGGGCCGCGCCACGCATCGCGGTGTCATCGTCGACGCCGGGTGCAAGGGTGAGAAAAATGGATGACCTCTGGCTGCATCTCTACGCGATGCTTTCCAGGGCAACGACTGTGGACAACCTCCTGATGATGCGCGACCGCTGCCTGGATCTCTTGGCCCGCGGGCCTCCCGCAGACTTGGCGGCGCGCCTTCGAGCGTTTTGCTCCCGCGCTGAAAAGCGCAGGAAGGATGCAAAGCAGCTAGCGGGCAACGTGGGCCTCGCTCGTTTCTCGCGTTCGCTATGAGCAGGTTTGATCCTTTGGATCGCGCAGCGACGTGGCGCAGGCAGCTCTGCATCTTTAGCGCGCTACCGATAGAAGCAAGACTCTCGGGTCTCCTCCCGTCGCTTTCGTCGTCGTCCACCTCCCCTTTTGTCACCGTCTCTCCGCTACTGCCGCGCTGACTGTTCGGCCCCGCTCGCGTCCTCCGCCTGCGTTTCGTTCCCACCCGCGTGTCTTTTTCGAGCCTGGGCCCTCGCTCCTCGTCCTTCTACTGTTGTCCTGTGAATCATGCCACATGCGCGTATCCCGCGTAGCTTTCACGACGTACAACGGCGCCTGCGCTGTCATCTTTGTCCTCGTCATCTTTAGCCGTCCACCGACAAGAAGCACCTTGCTTTCTTCTCCCGCGGTTTTCGCCCTCGTCCTCTTCGTTCTGCCAACTTCCCTCTGCTGCTGCCGCGCTGACGGTTCGGTCCCCTGCGCGTCCTCTTGCTTTTCTCCGTTCCTACCCCCGTGTTTTCCTCGAGCCTGGGCCTTCGCTCCTCGTCCGTCTGCGGGTGCCCCGTGGGTCGCGCAATGCGCGCGCATCCCATGTAGCTTGCACAACATATTACGGCGCCTGCGGGGTGATCTCCTCCCTTGCTCCGTCCGAGGAAAAAAAGTCGCTATCCTGGCAAAGTTGGGCCAATTCTTCTTGTCACTCGATGCAAATGGGTTTGGGTACGTCGCAAGGTAATTTTCAGGAGTGGATCACCCCAGGGCCCCTTCCCGCAGGCGGAAACACGTTTAGAATTTTAGGGGGGGCGTTTGAACCGCGCGTTTATTGATGCGGACGGGGTTGGGCGCAGAAACTTTCATTTGTGCTCCGGGGGGTGTTGGGGCCCTGGTGCGGCGTAAGGAAAAGTGCTTTCGAGCCTGATCAGCCGCGGCAAACGTTTTTTGTCCGAGCGCCGCCGCGTACGCCCATTCTGATCCACAGCGCGTTGGGAATGTCCACGCCAATGCCTGCGC